TTGTGGAAAAGGTGATGCCCAGAAGGGCAAAAGCAGCCAGGAACGTGAATATGGCACCCATCAGACTCGCATTGGAGGATCTGAACACGGCGACGAAGGGGGGAAGCAGGCAACATGCAAACAGGATGACCACCAAAAGAGTCTGCCCAAAATCCAGAGCTGGATGGGAGAAGAACGGCTTCGCAAACCGTTTTGATAACCAGAAGAAGCATTTCAGCTCAGATACCTTCGCAGCACAGCATGCTGAAGCAAACACTTAAGTCTTGGTCGTTCTGGAGGTTCAGCATATCCGCATGTTCTTCAGATCTGGCTAGGGTTTTGAAAAGAATTGCGGGTTTGGCGCTTACAGTGCAGAGTTCTTCAAAGAATAGAAAGGACCTCCTAAACGGCGCCCAGATGCTACCAACATGGTCAGTGCCAGTTGGCCAAACAGCCATTTACCCCATGCCTCAAAGGGGAGCCCTGCAGCCAGCAACGCTGCCAGGAAATCAAGCTGAAGGCCCATGGCGGGGGTGACGCACAGGATGATGTAGTGAAGCGGCACTCGACTCACCAGCATCGTCTGCAAGATCTCATCTTTCAGAGGACCCCGAACGAACATGTTGAACTCCCCAAGGCTTCCGTACCACTGCATCACGGCGGAGTGGATAAAGCGCTTGTCGAAGTCGCTACGGCATTGCAATGCACAGACGTCAAACTGGCTGAGGCTCTGAGATATCTGCTCCTGCTCCTCAGCTGTTGGATACATACTCTGATTCTGGCTGTCTCCTTCTTAGCTAATGCTCGAGTCCTGAAGAAGATGTTGCAAAGCCCGCTCGAGGCTCACTGTAGCCTTTCCGGAGATAGTGGACTGCAGGGAGCAGGCCGAAGCAGCAAATGCCAAGGAAGACGAAAAAAGGAAGGCTCGAGCCGCCCCTTGCTCCAGTTGCGATGAACAGGAGCAGAGCGCTTACTAACAAGTACATGCCCAGCCAATTTGCCAAGATGTCACGCTCAACAAACAGCGGCTGAAATACCAACTTTCCAAGTGGGTT